GGTGTCTCAAGCCTGTAATCCCAGCACTTTGGGAGGCCGAGACCGGCGGATCACGAGGCCAGGAGACTGAGACCATCCTAACACAGTGAAACCCCGTCTCTACTAAAAAAATACAAAAAACTAGCCGGGCGAGGTGGTGGGCGCCTGTAGTCCCAGCTACTAGGGAGGTTGAGTCAGGAGAATGGCGGGAACCCGGGAGGCGGAGCTTGCAGTGAGCTGAGATCCGGCCACTGTGCTCCAGCCTGGGCGACAGAGCGAGAGTCCACCTCAAAAAAAAAAAAAAAAAAAAAAAAAGAATGAAACATGCAACTACCATATGACCCAGCAATTGCACTCCAAGGCATTTACCCCGGAGAAATGAAGACTTACATTCACACAAAAATCTGAACATAACATAGCAGGTTTATTTGTAATAGCCAAAATCTGAACACAATCCAGATGCCCTTTATGAGTGAATGGTTAAACAAACTGTGGTACATCCATACCATGGAATACTACTGAGCAATAAAAAGAGACAAATGACTGATTCACACAACAACCTGCATGAATCTCCAAAGAAGTATAGTGAGTGAAAAAAAGCTAATCCAAAAAGACTACATAGGCCGGGCGTGGTGGCTCAAGCCTGTAATCCCAGCACTTTGGGAGGCCGAGGCGGGCGGATCATGAGGTCAGGAGATTGAGACCATCCTGGCTAACCCAGTGAAACCCCGTCTCTACTAAAAAATACAAAAAAAAAAAAAAAAAAACTAGCCGGGCGAGGTGGTGGGCGCCTGTAGTCCCAGCTGCTCGGGAGGCTGAGGCAGGAGAATGGCGTGAACCCGGGAGGCAGAGCTTGCAGTGAGCTGAAATCCAGCCACTGCACTTCAGCCTGGGCGACAGAGCGAGACTCCGTCTCAAAAAAAAAAAAAAAAAAAAAAAAAAAAAGGCTACCTACTCTATAATGCCACTTACATATAACATTACTGAATCCAAAATTATAGAGATGGAGAACTGATTAATGGTTTGGAGGGGTTAAGGAGGAGGTGAGGTGGGAGGGAAATAGGTGTGGCTATAGAAGGGCATTTTGAGGGATCCTTGTGGTGATAGAAATGTTTTATACAGTAGTTTGTCCTTATCCTGAGGGGATACGTTCCAAGGCCCTCATGGATGCCCAAATCCTCATATAGTATCAAACCCTATATATACCCTATTTTTTCCTATACATACCTATGATAATTTTTTTTTTTTTGGAGCTGGAGTCTCACTCTGTTGCCCAGGCTGAAGTGCAGTGGCACTGCTCACTGCAACCTCCACCTCCCAGGTTCAAGTGATTCTCCTGCCTCAGCCTCCCAAGTAACTGGGATTACAGGCACCTGCCACCACGCCCAGCTAATTTTTTGTATATTTAGTAGAGATGGGATTTCACTGTGTTGGCCAGGCTGGTCTCAAACTCCTGACTTCAGGTGATCCACTTGCTTTGGCCTCCCAAAGTGCTGGGATTACAGGTGTGAGCCACCGTGCCCAGCCCATACCGATGATAAAGTTTAATTTATAAATTAGGCACAGTAAGAGATTAACAACAATAAGTTAGAATATAAAAGAACAATTATAATAATATACTATAATCAAAGCTATGAGAATGTGGCCAAAGCATTTATAAACAAAGTTAAGACAAGTGACAGACTGGGAGAAATGTTTGCAACATTTACAACCTACAAAATATTCTTATTCAGAATAGGTACAGAGTTTATGTGAATTCAAGCAAAATGTAAACAACCTGATAGAAAAATGGGCAAAGTCTATCAATAGGCATTTATAGAAAAAGAATACAAAATAAGAAACATATAAAAAGATTTTCAGTTCATGCGTGTAATCCCAGCACTTTGAGAGGCCAAGGCGGGCAGATCACTTTGAGGTCAGGAGTTCAAGACCAGCCTAGCCAACATGGTGAAACCCCGTCTTTACTAAAAATACAAAAATTAGCCAGGTGTGGTGGTGTGTGCCTGTAATCCCAGCTACTCAGGAAACTGAGGCAGGAGAATCGCTTGAATCCAGGAGGCAGAGTTTGCAGTGAGCCCAGATCACACCATTGCATTCCAGCCTGGGTGACAGAGTGAGACTCCATCTCAAAAAAAAAAAAAAAAAAAAAAAAGAGATTTTAAAATTCACTTATCAGTTTTATGCAAACTAAAACAAAATGTGATTTTTCACCTATCAGATTGGCATAAATTAAAGAAAACTGATAATAAATCTTGGCAAGAATGTAAGGGAGTGGGAACTCAAAAACACTAATGAGGAAGTATTCAGTGGAATGGTCTTAGTAGATATTTATTATACATATTAAATTCTAAAGCATATATATCTTTTGACTCATTGTTAAACTTAATTTAGAAATCAGGCTGGGTGTGGTGGCTCACGCCTATAGTCCCAGCACTTTGGGAGGCCAAGGCGGGGAGATCACGAGGTCAGGAGTTCGAGACCAGCCTGGGAACATGGTGAAACTCCATCTCCACTAAAAGTATAAAAATTAGCCAGGCATGGTGGTGGGAGCCTGTAATCTCAGCTACTCAGGAGGCTGAGGCAGAGGAATTGCTTGAACCTGGGAACTGGAGGTTGCAGTGAGCCGAGATCCAGCCACTGCACTCTAGCCTTGGTGACAGAGCAAGACTACGTCTTGGAAAAAAAAAAAAAAAAAAGAAATCAATGTTACCATAGTAGTTTTGCATGTACTAAAGGGAATATAGAGGAGGACTCTTTTCTCCTTTTTTTTTCTGTAAATGTCAAAAGAAGTGGAAATGTTCATTCAGTGAGAGAGAAGTGACATACAGTCACCATACATCCCTACAATGAATACAACATACCCATGAAAAAGAATGAGGTGGTCCTACACATACTGAGTTTAAAATAAAAATCTTCAAGACAAGGGATAAAAAGAAACAAGTTGTGGAACTGTATTCTAGTATTTTGTGTTTTTATGTGTAACTGTATTTTGTGTTTTTATGTGTATGTTTGTGCAAGCAATATGGATATAAATACATAAACAGTTTTGTAAACATGTTTGCCAAACTGGCCAGTAGTTATCTCTGGAGGGAAAAAAAAAGAGGTGAGGTTGGGGCAGGTGGAAGGGGGCTTTTCACATTTTGTTCTGTATCCTTCTGTATCATTTAAATTATGTACAGCTAGAATAAATAAAAACTTGCATGTTCATACACACACACAAACACACACACACACACACACACATGCCACAGGCATAGGAAAAAAAGAAAGGTGTCTGTTTCTGAAGATCTCTGCAAAGCCTATAGCCACTGCCGCTAATCCTCTCAGGCTTCTGAGAATGACAGCCACCCTCATGGGAGCGTTGATTGCCCCAAATGTTTGCTTTAATCAATGCAATTAGCAGAACATCAATTAGGCTGGAAGGCTGAAAGGCTCTGAAGCCTTTTGATTTGCAAGAGCCTTGTTCCTGCCTGCTGCTCTGTGTCAGGCTTTCCATCTTTCTTAATTGGTGACTCTGACTTGTAAACTTTTCCACTATTCCCCCAAACTGCATCGTCTCCTTTTCCCTAGCTCTCTGAAAAGTTTCACTGTGCCCGTCACTAAAGCCAGACCACCTGTGGTCTCCACCCTCATATCTGGTCAACCACTAAACCCTCTGGAACTGATCCCCAGAAGTCTCTCAAATCTGGCTACCTTACTCCATCTCTACTGTAAGCACATTACTGCCTCTTACCTGGAATTTGAATTTTGAACATCAGAAGAGCCTTGAAGAGACAGTTCCTCTATGGCTCAGCACTGCTTCCTGAAGTAAATTTTTCAGCTTTCCTCTGATTCTGTGAGTTGCCTTGTATACAGTCTTCATATCAACTCATTTTTGACTGAAGCTAGCCAAGTCATTTTTGGTGCTTGTGTCCAAAGAATTCCCAATGAACCCTGCCCTTCTGCACCAGATAAAATTTTACTCATCCTTCGAGATCCAAGTCAAGTGTCCGTTTACTCACTCATTCATTCACTCAACAAATATTTACTGAAAAATACCATGAGCTAGTGCTGTGCTAAGTGCTAAAGATTCTTGACCACATGAATCCCTAACTATCTCCAAATGAAGAACTTCTGGGAGATTTCAGGTGCAGAAGTTAGTTGTATTCCTTTCTTCGTGGCACTCTGTCAGCATTGATCTGGGTAATTGATTAATTACCTCATATCCACATTCCCTATCCTCCTCCCCCGACAAGCAACCATATTAATTGGTTTGATATGTATTTGAATGTATTATTGTGAAATGCATACTGTAATTTTGAGATTAAAATTCAAGAGTGCAATAATCCAGGAGAGAGTTGATGGCAACTTGAACCACAGGTGTGTTAGCTTCCTATACAAGAAATCCCTGCATTTAAATGAGAACAAAACCCAACAGAAAGCTGAAAAAAATACAACAGAAAACCCCAAACTAACAAACAACGTAAGATGCAAATCGCTAATAACGAGAGAAATGCAGATTAAAACAATAATAGCACATTGCATCTGCTATTTTGATAATAATTAGAAAGCTGATCTCTATCCCAGAGAAAGTTCCACGCAGGATCCTAAGGGAATGTGTATGAGGAAGTTCATTGCAGCCTTGTTTGTGGCCACGGGGTGGTCAGGACAGCCTGGGTCACCATCACTGGGAGGATGAATGGGTAAAATGTGTATCAGATTTGGGGTAAGCACTTTTCACGCATTATCTCATCTTTCTTTCAATACATCCCTAAGATAGTGGAACTTTTCATAGCATTCCCATTTTACAGACGACAGCACAAAACCTATCCTCTCCTACACACAAAGGCTGCTTGTCCTCTGGTACATTCGTCCTAGTTTTAGAACGAACACACGGGGTTCAGGGCCTCAGCCCCATCCTGCGGTCTCAGAGAGGCGTCCCCCTTTCGGCCGTGGGCGACCTCGGGCCTGGGCCGCCAGCACCGCGGACAGCGCCAGGCGCGGGGCGGGGCGACCATGGAGACGTCACGACGCGCGGAGTCTGAGGGGCGCGCGCCCGTGGGCGGCTGCGTCACGTGATCCAGGTAATTGGCACGGTGCGCGCGCACCCCTTCCGCGCAGCCCCCTGACCTGCAGCCTCCGGACCTTGCTGCAGCGTGGACCCCGCCCGCCCGCCCGGTGAGCGCGGCGGCCCGCCCCTTCCCGATCCCAGCGCCGCTGCTTCTCCTGCCGTTCTGGGGACCGGCGCCGCAGCTCCTCTCTCCCGGGTCCTGGGGCGCCGCTGCCCGCAGTCCTGAGCCTGGCCCGGCCGGGGGGAGGGGGAGGAGGAACAGACCGTGACCTTGGCTCCGCCCTTGACTGGCCGCGGCCTCCCCCGGGACCCCCAGCCCATCGCGCGCGTACCACCCGGCTAGTCCGGGGTCCTGCGCAGAGGAGCGGGCGCTCGCGGTGGGTTTCTTCAGCCCGAGGACTGCCGACTGCCCCGCGCCTTCCGTGGCCAGGGGAGGGCCCAGGGCTGCGGGAGCTGTGCCGGGGATGGGGAGGGTCAGCGCTGTGCGCCTGGCGGGACCCGTAGGCAGCTTCGGACGTCCAAGGACCCTAATAGACAATTTTAACCGCGGTCTCCAATCACAGATGAGAAAACTGAGTCCCGAGAGAGGGCGGCATGGCCTGAGGTCGCTGCTAGCACGGAAAGTGCTTCTTCCGCCCCTAGGGAGATGTGGGAGGGTGACGGGGTAATCCCGAGGCCACAGCAGGCTGCAGTACGCATTCGCCGAACCAGAGAGACCCCTTTGACGCCCCTGGGCCGCCTGGCTCAAGCAGGCGCTAGCATCCCCTCCCCAGTGTCTTGGAACAGGCCCCATCTAATTAGAGTTGCGGTTTGTTGCTGAGCAAAGCTCATCCGCTTCTCAGAAAGTGGGGTCAGAGTAGACCTGCTGCTGAGAGAATCCAAGCTCTGCTGCTGCCCAGCTTGGCGGGCCCTCTGGGGAGAACCCTTCGCGGCCTCTGTTTACTGATCTCTGCAATGGGTGCATTAGGGAGCAGTCCTCACTAGGGCACCCCAGACAGGGTCATGTGTAGGGGAGTCTTAGTGGGCATGGTGTCGGCAGTTTTCTGGGGTTGGGTTGAGGTTCCGAGATTGGGTTGGGGATGCTGTGTGACCGTGTCTTCAAGAGAAGAGACCCCCAAGAGATACCCAGGGCGACTCTGCTGGAGTCTGGACTCGGCAGGGGGTCGCACAGGGTACCTGACTCTCACTCCTTGCTGCTGTCTTTGACTGTATGGGCAGGAACTAGCAGGGCTGGCTTGGGCTCTGGCTCTAGATACTGAGCCCTCATGCCCTGCTGGGATGCAGGTGGGGGTGAGTGGCAGGCTGCCCTCCTGCCTGGCTGGGTCAAGGCCACAGCAGTGTCCAGTGGCCAACCCAGACTGCTTAGTGTTTATAAAACACAGTGTTCCTGCACCGGGCCATTCTGGACACAGCCAGACTTTGTCCCTATCTGGCCCAAACTGCCCCATTCCCCTGTGGGGGTGGGAGTGGGGCTGGCAGAGGGAGCAGCTCTGACTCAGCTGATGGGAATTGCATCGCTAAGAGAAATCTGGCTTACATCTTGACTGCAGTGATCAGGGCACAGTCTCTGGAACCACACACAACCCTGTCACTCTCCAGCTTAGCCTCTTGCACCTCAGTTTCTCTGTTTATAAAGTGAAACTGATGTGAGTGCTCACCCCATAGGATGTTGAGAATTAAATGAGCACAGTATCTGTCCCAGAATCAGTGCTCCTGATGGTGCCTATTATGTTTATTCCTATGACGATGGTCTTAATATCTAGTTTCCTTGCCATAGACTGGGGATGATAGAGCGTCCTGGGTGGTTGGATTCTTTTTGATGCTCCAGAAGATTCTCCCTGATGCTTCAGGAGCTCCTGGGCCCAGTGGCCAGCTGGGCTGGCACAGACTTCTGTTTGCCCAGTCCTCTGGGATGGTTAGAGGCGGAATAGGAGTTGGGACCCTGGCTGCCTGACCCCAGAGCTCATGCCTGGCGCTTGGAGAGGTCCTGCTTCCAGAGGAGCCGGCCCTGAGTGCCCTGCACTCTAGGGCTTGGCATCACTGGCTGGTGGGCTGGGCCACGTGGCCCGAAACCTCAGGGGCTGAGCATGTGGGAGGGAAACTTAGGGCACTCAGATGCTCCCAAGCTCACCTCCCTCCTCCCTGCAGTGGAATCTTTTTTGTTTTGAAATTTTTCTCTGTTCAGGCTTGCTGCTGGTTGCCCCAGGAGCCTGTCCTCCTTCCATCAAGGTGACATTACCCCTTTCCTCTGGCTTATGTGAGTTAGAGGGAGGGCTGTGCCCTGCCCTCTGATGAGGCCTGACCTTTTGTGCAAAGTCCAGCCAGTGAGTTCCTGGTGACGTGGTTGAGCTGATGGCAGGGCTGAGGCAGAAGGGTGCAACAGGTGGCCTGTTGGCTGAGCACACCTGACCAGGAGCATTGGCTCAGGGCCCGGCCTGGGCAGTACTTGGGAGCTAGTTATACCCCAGAATGCACATTTTCTGGGGCCTGAGCTGTCCAGGGGTGGGGGACTCCTCCTGTGTGGGCGACCGCTGGTAGGGTGGTTCTTGCACCCAGCTTACAAGCTGGGCAGTCTGGGCAGGAGGGCATTAGCTGGTGTTGACGGGGAGCTGCTCTGTCCAGGCAGTGGCTGTGCTGGAGCAGAGGAGGGGGTTCTGCTTACAGTTGTAGGGTGGGGAACAGAGGTCCCACTTTACACATCATGTGTAGGATGAAGTGGCAGGGGTATGGGGTGATCTGGGACCTCAGCGGGCCCTATCAACCCCTAACCTGCCTGGATAGGGAGAGTTGGGGGTTCTTCAGGATTGGCAGAGGCTCTTAGAACTCTTACCCTCTGAGGAATGGAGAAAGCCCCCATCACTGAAAGCCCATCACTGAAAATACCAAGATTAGATATTTTCCCTGGGAAGGCACAGGTAACAGAGTGAGATGAGATGAGCTGCAGGGCCTGGTTCCCCCGGCCTGGGTGGGTTTCCAGTCTGTAGCTGCCTGGGCTGTTAGCTGTCTTGAGTGGCACTGGTCCTGGGTGTAAGCTCTCAGGGTGTCCAGAGTATGGGAGCCAGGGAGGGCAGTTCCAGTCCAAGGGCTGTGCTGGGCCTGGGGCTGCGTTCCATTCTGCTCTTCATGCCCCTCCAGACCTTAGCCCTTCCTGCAGTGAAGTGGGGTCATTGTTGGGCCTAGTGTCACCATCCTTCTGGCTGGGCCTGGGAGAGAGGGCACTCTGGGCCAGGATCACAGTCACAGGTAGTCACTGGTCACTTTTGGTTGCAATGACTAGAGCCACAGACCTCCTGAGATACTGTGTCTCTATCATCCCCTGACACCTGTGCTCACTGGATGTTTTTGTCCCTGCTTTTCCCTGACCATGCACGACACACCTGGCCCCTGGAGGACTCCCTGCCCTGGTTCTAGGGTGGTGGGCCTGTGACCCACTCCTTCTTGGTGGTACTCCCTGCACCTGCCCTGTGGCTCTCTGAGTGGGCTCCAGGACCTAGGTTGAGTGCTCCCTGAGGCAGGGCCTGGGTTCATGTCTCTGCCCAGGCTTTGGGGGCTATCAGGGAAGCAGTGTGGTCTGGGATGTGTGGGGCACAGCAGTGCTGGGGCTCAGGGCTATTCGATGTCTATTGGAGTTTACTGAGCTGGGAGCTCCCACCAGACAGTAAGCCCAGGGAGCTGGGAGAGTGTCACATTCCCAGTCTCATCACTGCCTAGCCTGGCACCATCTGCCCAGTGGGATTGACAAGTGCTGATGAGCGGACAGTGGCTTGGTAGAGCCTCTTCCTGTCTTAGTCCTGTCGTTTATGCCTCTCCTTCATTGCCTGTGTCCAGAATGAATCAGCTGAGGCTGTTGCCGTCCCGTCTTGGGGCACAGGCTGTGAGGCTTCTGGCCGCACATGAAGTCCCAGTGTTTGGCTGGCGCAGCAGGTCCTCCGGGCCACCGGCCACCCTCCCAAGCAGCAAAGGTGGAGGCAGCTCCAGTTACATGGAGGAGATGTACTTCGCCTGGTTGGAAAACCCCCGGAGTGTCCACAAGGTCAGCACCCGCACCCTGCCCTGGGCCACTGCAAGGGAGGGAAGCCCCCAGGGGCCAGGCTGTGGCAGGGCAGTGGGGAGAAGCAGCTTGCTTGCTGTGTGATCCTGGGCAGGTTTCTTTGCCTCTTAGGTCCTCAGTCATCAAAGCCTGTTGCTTTCCAGTTGCTCGATCAGGCAGTGGGCGGTGGTTTTGATGGTGAGGCCCTGGCCATGCCCTGCTCTGCCACACCTGAGCCCTGCCGTGCCCCTTTGTCATGCTCTGCTGTCTCCATATGCCCCCTTGTATGTAATTAGGGACATACATGTTTGTGTATGTATTGATCTGATAGAATAAACGCTTGCTGATGGTAAAGAAAAAAATTAAATCAGATGGGAGGATAAAAAGTGAAGTTGCTCTCTGACACCTTCACCTGTAGTGGAAAGCAGTGCAGTCATATGATCCAGAGCCAGACGGTATAAGAAGTTACACAGTCAGAAAGCTCCCTCCTAATCTAGCTGCGTCTACTCAGTTCCTGCTGTCCTCCAACTTAGTGTCCTCCATATCCTTTCAAAGACTTGCATTAGGTAAACTTACAGCAAATGTTAACTCTGGATTTGTTTCCCTTTATGCAAAAGTAACCTGTAACACATACTATTTTGCTCCCTGCTGTTTCGCTTGGTGATGTATCTCCAAGATCTTTCCACATCAGTACATAAAGAGCCTCATTGTTCACTCTGTCCAGCTGTGTAATATTCCATTGCATGTATGTTCCACCCCTATTCCTGCTGACAGACATCTGATTCATTTCTAGTCTCTGGCTGTGGCAAACAGTGCTGCAGCGCGTCATCTTACACCTTCGTCATCTTGCACCTGCACAGCCATCTGTAGGATAAACTCCCCAAAGTGAAATAGTTGGGTCCAGGAGTGGCTGTGTGTGTAATTTTTTGTTTTTGTTTTTGTTTTTGTTTTTGAGATGGAGTCTCGCTCTGTCGCCCAGGCTGGAGTGCAGTGGCCGGATCTCAGCTCACTGCAAGCTCCGCCTCCCGGGTTCACGCCATTCTCCTGCCTCAGGCTCCCCAGTAGCTGGGACTACAGGCGCCCGCCACCTCGCCCGGCTAGTTTTTTTTTGTATTTTTTAGTAGAGACGGGGTTTCACCATGTTAGCCAGGATGGTCTCGATCTCCTGACCTCGTGATCCACCTGTCTCGGACTCCCAAAGTGCTGGGATTACAGGCTTGAGCCACCGCGCCCAGCCGTTTTTCTTTTTTTATTGAGACGGAGTCTTACTCTGTCGCCCAGGCTGGAGTGCAGTGGCCAGATCTCAGCTCACTGCATGCTCCACCTGCCAGATTCACGCCATTCTCCTGCCTCAGCCTCCCGAGTAGCTGGGACTACAGGCGCCCGCCGCCTTGCCTGGCTAGTTTTTTGTATTTTTAGTAGAGATAGGATTTCACCGTGTTAACCAGGATGGTCTCGATCTCCTGACCTCGTGATCCGCCCGTCTCGGCCTCCCACAGTGCTGAGATTATAGGCGTGAGCCACCGCATCCGGCCTGTGTGTGTAATTTTAATGGGTATTGCCAAGTTGCTTTCCATGGGGATTGTACCAACTGAGCCTCCCACCAGTGCCGTATGGGAGTGCACGGAAGACAGCGCTTTTACATTGTTCTTCTGGAAAACACATGCAAATGCCTGTATGTGTTCACATCTGCTTTTTACTTCTACACAGAGAGTAGCAGCCATGCTTCTGCTTTGTTCACATTAAAACATATCTTGGCAATATTCCATATCCACAATACCGAATGTACCTTTTTAAAAAGACTATGTAATCTTCCACATTCTAAATGTAAAAATCATTGTTTAGCCAGTTTTCTATGGATAGCCATGTAGGTTGTTTTCCCATTGTCATTTTTATAAACAGTTCTGCAGGGAGCATCCTTGTATGTACATTTAGGCACCCTGGGAAGACCCTGAGAGCTGTGGTCCTCAAGGAAGACCTGACACTCCCTGGGGCCCCAGCCCGGTCCACCCCTGGCTCTTCCCAGGCCCTGACCTGGCTGCGTTCTTGCTTCTGCCCTGCCTAGTCCTGGGACAACTTCTTCCGGAAAGCCAGTGAGGAAGCCTCTTCTGGCTCTGCTCAGCCACGGCCCCCTTCTGTTGTCCGTGACAGCAGGTCTGCAGTCTCAAGCCGGACCAAGACCAGCAAGTTAGTGGAGGACCACCTGGCCGTGCAGTCCCTGATCCGGGCCTACCAGGTGAGGGACAACTGAGACACAGCCTGGGAGGCTGCACTGGCTCCTGGGGTGTGGCCAGGCACTGAGGGGAAGGGATCTCAGCTCCAACATCGTCTCCCCAGGGAGCCCTTCTCCTTGTCCTCTACTGAGCGGCACCCACTTCTCTAGCCAGTCTTTGCCACATCACCATTCAGAGCACTTACCACCTGCTTGAATTTTTTTTGTGCATACTGACGTGTGCTTGTGGTCTGTCCCTTGCACACACCATGCCCCAAGTACGTGGAGGAGCACTTAGTAAGGGATCAGTTCCAGAGCCTGTTGAATGAGGGGTGAGTAGATTAACCCTTGTTAATTCTGTTTTCTCCTCTAGAACGGGCATCCCAAGAGCACAGGGACTGATAGAGCAGGTGCCTAATTCATGTTTATGGAATGAATGGTTCAGTAAACAATTCTCTGCCACCAGTTGCTCCTCCTGGAGACTTAGGCTGTCTCAGGCTGGGCTTCTGCTCTGTCAGAGTCCCAGTGATGGTTTGTGTTTTTGGTCTTCATCAGACAGGACTAATTGGAGGACTGCTGTGGTGTTCAGGCCATAACAAACATAATCATTTGGAATATCTCTGGGAACTGCTGGCAGGAGGTATTCCATCAGGGAAATGTGAGGTAGAAGCAAGCCACTGCAAGGCTAGGGTACAGGGGGGCATTAGCAAATGGAAATGATGCTTTGCTTCTGAATGAGGTGCCCAGTGTGTGGGATGGAATGGAGTTCCCCGTACACCACCCACCTGGGGATGGAAGAAGGAAGGTGTGCAGGGTTGGGCTCCCTTGTTGGCCTGAGGACTCATCAACTGTGGGCCACCTGGGAGCAAACAGCAGCTAGTTGTACTGTGTCTTTCCTGGCTGGCTGAAAGAAGCAGTGATCTAACCCTTGACTTCAAAAATGAAGAACAAGGATATAAAACTGTATATTAAATACAGGGAAATGTTCAGGGTGCTGCCCGAGAGCCTTATCTTCTAAGCACAGGTCTCAGCCCTTCAGTAGCTCTTTGTTCTTTGATTAACCAAGACGAGGCATTAGTTTTCCTGGCAGGGTGGCCTCTGGATTCAGATGTGTTACTCTCTTATGCCTGGTGTGGATGAGCTCCCACCAGAAGGGCTGCAGCCCCTTACAGGCCAGCAGCAGGCACAGCTCTGGTTAGAATCACCTGCACACTGTACTGAAAAAACCACTGTATTGTTACAGTCATTTTTAAACATATAAAAGGCAGAAGGATAGTGTGGTGAACTCACCACCCATCAATCATGATCAGCCTCGTTTCATCCATTTCTCCCTTAGCCCCCGCTCACTGCTGGATTATTTTGAGGCAGATCCCAGATACAGCATTTCATTCATTGAACATTTCAGTATGTATGTCTAGAGAAAAGGACTCCTTAAAAAATGTGCCATAATACCATTATCACATCTAAACATAATAATGCTTAATATGAAATATGCATTTGATATTTGTGTTTGCCTTTTGTCCTGTGTTTTCTTTCTTTCTTTCTTTTTTTTTTTTTAGACGGAGTTTTACTCTGTCACCCAGGCTGGAGTGCAGTGGTGCTATCCTGACTCACTGCAACCTCTGCCCCACGCGTTCAAGTGATTCTCCTGCCTCAGCCTCCTGAGTAGCTAGGATTACAGGTGCTTGCCACCACGCCTGGCTAATTTTTGTGTTTTTAGTGGAGATGGGGTTTCACCATGTTGGCCAGGCTGGTTTTGAATTCCTGATTTCAAGTGATCTGCCCGCCTCGGCCTCCCAAAGTGCTGGAATTATAGGCGTGAGCCATTGCGCCCAGCCTGTGCTTTCTTTTTACTGCTTGTTTGAAGCAGGATCCAGCTAAATCCACAGGTTGCAGTAGGCTGATGTGGCTCGCACGTCTCTTGTACTTTGCAGGTTCCTTTCTGTTTCTTTTTATGATGTGGAAAAACCAGGTGGTTTGTCCTGTAGGGTTCTCCCGAGTCTGGATTTTGCTGATGGCTTCCTCATGATGTCATTTCATCCATCCCATTGTCCCGTGTAATTTCTGTACTTTGACGATTAGATCTAGAGGCTCGATCCCATAGACATTTGATTTTTTTTTTTTTTTTTTTTCAAAATCAGCTTCCTAGTGGTGATGGTGATGGCAGTTAGCAGCTGTGGATAGTGATTTCCTAGAACCATTAACTCACTAGGGGTTGCAAAAATGGTGATATGCCAATTCTGTTTTCCCTTCTTTATAAACTGAAGTCCTGCTATCAGGAGAAACTTCCCTTTGTTAACTCTGTTTATCCTGAGGTGCAGATTGTGTAGGAAAGACGGGATCACTGCTTGATTTTTTCCTTTTATTCACTGATTTTCAAAATTATGAGGTGATTACCTAGCACACTCCAGAAGTGACTAATGGAAGTTTATCTTCCTTTTTTGGATTCATATGAATACATGAGTGTAAGCATATTTGTTGAATTTCAATCTGCTGTAGATGTACTGTCCTTACAGTTGCTCAAAACCTCTTCATATTCCCAGCACTCGTGGTGTTTGAACACTGCTTTGATGTCAGTGTAACAGGATGCTCCAAGCTGAGCTTGTACATTTCTGCCTATTCCAGAACTGTCCAGGTCTCTGGCTGTTTCCTGCTATTGGTTTGATCATTACTTCTGGGCCATTTCAGGAATCAGAGCCAGGAAAGGGTTTATACTGATGCTTCTAGCGTGCTGTACATGTGGGATTTGGGGTTTGTCCTTGACCCTGTCAATCTTATGGCACCATTGCCTTTTAGAGATGCCAAAAAGATGCCAGTACAATGGCTTGTTTGATTTCCCACAGCCCACATGCAACAATCTTAGAATAACAATTCTTTTTTTTTTTTTTTTGAGATGGAGTTTTGCCTTGTAGCCCAGGATACAGTGCAATGGCACGACCTCAGCTCACTGCAGCCTCCACCTACCAGGTTCAAGCGATTCTCCTGCCTCGTCCTCCCAAGTAGCTGGGATTACAGGCATGCGCCACCACACCCAGCTAACTTTGTATTTTTAGTAGAGATGGCGTTTCACCATGTTGGCCAGGCTGGTCTCGAGCTCCTGACCTCAAGTGATCCACCCACCTCAGCCTCCCAAAGTGCTAGGAGGATTGCAGGCGTGAGCTACTGCGCCTGGCCAGCATAACAATTCTAACACTATTACGACTGACTGGTAATAAAAAAGACTTTATGAATTTTTTTCTGTTTGTCTTTAGGGAATATTCCATTAGTCAGTTGGGATAGTTTCTCTCTGTGTATTTATGCCACTAAGTGGACATATTTATTCATTTGATTCGTTTCACTTTCAATTTTTAAGACTTAATTTTGTTGTATAATAATTAAAATATTTACAAGGTTTGAAAATCAAATCTTCAAAGTAAGATAAGTTCTTGCTTAAAACTCTGGCTTCTAACCCTGCCTCTCTATTCTATTTTGTCGCCTCCCCTAGATGATAATTTGTTTTATGTTATGGTTTTTTTTATGATTTGCCCTTCTAATGCATATATTTATTTGTGTCTTCTCTTTCTTAGGTAATGGGTAGTTCACCATACACACTTTTCTAGAATTTGCTTTTTTGCTTAACAATATTTTTTGGAGACTACCTTATAGTATCAGATGGGGATTTTCCTTCTTCCTTTTAATGGAAAATCCTGGAGTGCTCCACTGTGTGGATCGCCCATATCCATGTGCCAATCTCCTGCTGATGGACAGTGGGGAAGTTTCTAGAATTTCACTATTACTAATAGCACTGCAGTGCACACCTTCATGCATAGGTCTTTTTCCTGTTTTTGCCAGGTGCATGTTGTACTTCTAAACCGGGTTGAGCTCCTGCCAGCTTACTGGCTGTGGCTGGGTCTTCTAGACAGCAGTGAAGTGGCTATGGGGCAGAGACATGGGGAAGCTTAACATTTGGAAATGGGAAGAGCGGGGCTGGGGCCCAGAGCCTCACCCTGGAGGAAGTCTGTCCAGCTGGGTCCCAGCCCCACCCTGCTCTTTTCCCTCCTCCCAGATCCGTGGTCACCATGTGGCCCAGCTGGACCCCCTGGGCATTCTGGATGCAGACCTGGACTCCTTTGTGCCCTCAGACTTGATCACAACCATTGATAAACTGGGTAAGACTGGGGACACTTCCTGAGGACAGCTATGGCAGTGCCATGTGGGTGGTCCAGTAAGGGGCCCACGGGCCCAGGGGACATCCTGATCCTTGGGAAGTCATGGGGCCCAGGGAGCAGCCCACAGGGCCTCCTTTCTACCTTGCCTGCGTACTGCCTGTTGTTCCTGAGAAGGACGCCTGCCTGCCACCTTCCTTAGCTTGTGCCCCATATGTTCAAGCCTGAGAGGCTTGTCCTCCCTGCCACCCTGGGCTCACTCTCACTTCTGCTCCCCAGGCTGGACCCAGAGGGAGGGCACTGGGGAGACTGGGAGGTCTGGTGAGACTGCAGGACTCCACCTGGGCCTGACCTCCCTCCCTCCACTCTGCTGCCTGGGGCTCGGCCACGCCTCCTTCTCCAGCCTTCTATGACCTGCAGGAGGCTGACCTTGATAAGGAGTTCCAGCTGCCAACGACCACCTTCATCGGGGGCTCTGAAAACACCCTCTCTCTGCGGGAGATCATTCGACGCCTGGAGGTGAGCACAGGCGGGTGTGTGGGGCGCGGCTGAAGCAGTTCTTCGGAACTTGCCAGAGGACGGGAAGGCACTGCCTTTTTTTGTTCCAGACAGCAGGGATGTTAGCCATCCCTCTTCCCCGCTCCTCATGGCGTCCCAATGTGTCTCCCCAGAACACTTACTGCCAGCACATTGGCCTGGAGTTCATGTTCATCAACGATGTGGAGCAGTGCCAGTGGATCCGGCAGAAGTTTGAGACCCCTGGTGTGATGCAGTTCTCCAGCGAGGAGAAGCGGACACTGCTGGCCCGGCTGGTGCGCTCCATGAGGTTGGCACCACCCGGAGGGCCAAGTGGCTGGAGGTCCTGCTCCAGGGCTTTATGAGACATCGCACGGCCTGCCTAAGAGAGCAGGAGGGTACCACAGGAAGGCAGGACTGGATCGGCCTCACCGCTGGCTGCAGGGAGGAGAGTTGGGACCAGGTGTTTAGGCAGTTTGGCCAAGAGCTGGCCCAAGGCAGAGCAGGTCAGGTGGGCAGGGATGAGTCTCTGGGAGAACAAGACAGCAGGACACTGAGCAAGGCCAGAAGTGGCGGGAAGTGGCTGTGGGAACATTTGGGCAGAAAGTTATCCCTGGTGTGGAGTGAGTGTGGCCGCATCACCTGTCTGCCCACTGGACTTTTCTGAAGCTGGGTCCCGCAGGGCTGCAGGGCTAGGGGAACACCTGACTCAGCGGCTGGATGCAAAGTGGATTCCTGAGCAGCGAGGTGTGGCCTGCAGTTTGGATTCAGCTGGGTGGAGATCTTTGGGACTTGGCGAAGAGAGCCCTTGGAGTGTGGCAGGAGGGTAGTGGGCTAGGAGTGGGTGGGTGGTGGCCTGTGGGAGAAGCTTGGCTATGAGGAAGAGAGAGGGTGGCAGCTGGGAAAGGGTGTAGGCAGAGGCCTTCAGCTGGGAAGATTCCCAGCCTCCCCGAACCCTGTGTTCCTTGCTGGGTGGGACAGGTGTGGTATCCGTGGTGTGCCCTGGATCATTTGACAGAAGGAGGCTTTGTGACTTCCTCTGTCCTGGGCATTCAGCTGTGAGCACTCGTGAACAGTCCCTGTGAGCCCCAGTCCCATCCCTCTCCATCCCTTTCCCTCTCCTCTCCTCTCCCCATCCTCTCCCCAAGCAGGTTTGAAGACTTCCTGGCCCGGAAGTGGTCCTCAGAGAAGCGGTTTGGCCTGGAGGGCTGTGAAGTGATGATTCCTGCCCTCAAGACCATCATCGACAAATCCAGCGAGATGGGGATTGAGAATGTCATCTTGGGGATGCCACACAGGTGGGTCCCCCTCCCCGCTGGCATCTTGCCCATTCTCTTCCAGCCCAGGGGACAGAGGTGGGAGGGATGAGATGGAAATAAGAGCAGAGGTGTTGGTGGGACCTGGGGGTAGAGGTGGGTTTTTGGACAGTTCTAAGTCCCTGGGCCTGGCCTTCTCATCACAGAAATTGCCAGGCATTCAGCCAGAGTCACCTGGGGCCGGGTACTAACCAAGTTATCAGGCACCCTCTCTCCCTGGCCATGTTGCTGCTGTCCCTAGCAAGGGTGAGATTTCAGAAAGGGGTGCAAAGTGCTTCTTGAGGTTCCTGTGAATAAGGAGAGGTGGAGGGGTTTCTTCCAGGGAAGGGAGGGCAGGGCCTGGGCAGTTGTTCCCAGGTTGTGTCTCCCACAGGCAGGTCTGTGGAGATGAGCCGAGGGTCTCTGACCTGGCTGCAAGCTGACTGCATGTTTCCCTTGACCTTGGTGAAGATCTGGGAGGCTTGCTCAGCAGTGGAGCGTTACCTCTGAGCTGGAGCCTGTGAGGAAGCAGGAGGGGGAGTGCAGCCTGGGGGACGGAGACCTCTGTGGCTGGGGTCCTGCTGAGTGGGCATGTGCACATGTGCAGAGTGGCCCGTGGGAAGGGCCCTGGGCCTTTCCTGTGACCAGGGAGCTGCTTGTGCTTAGGCTAGCCCAGGGCCGCATCAGCATGAGGGCATCCAAATGCATGGTGCAGGGGTCCCCATCTGTGGCTGGCCTGCCAGGAACTTGGGGTTTGTCTGTCATGGGGGGCCTGGGAATGCCCAGTGTCTGGTCAGAGGGTTAGGCAGAGCTGGCCTAGTGACCTGAGGCAGCAAGGAAACACAGGACTTCAGGCCTCGGGCCATTACAGCAGCAGGAGAGGATGGTGCCTGGTGATTGGGTGGCCTGAGGAGGGCTCTGGGCATGAAGGGGCTGTATTAGGCCAGGCCAGGCCAGGCCTCCATAGTGGGGGAGGGAACCCTGAGGCCTACGGGCTTTGCCAGGTGAGAGCCCGGCCCCTCTGGCTCCAGGGGCAGGCTGAACGTGCTGGCCAACGTGATCCGCAAGGACCTGGAGCAGATCTTCTGCCAGTTTGACCCCAAGCTGGAGGCGGCAGACGAGGTGGGTGCCACGCTCAGGTCCCGGCACCCTTGGAGAGCTGGGTATTTGGGAGGTGAACTGGGGAGGGGCTGGACTGGGAGCTTCCGGGCTGAGATAAACCTTGAGATGGATGCATGTGGAGAAGCCAGCAAGAGGCTGGGTGTTTGCCTAAGGCCCCTAAGGCTTTTGGGAGCAAGGGCTGCAGTCTGTGGTAGCTGGGAGGGCCCTTGAATGATCTGGGTCAACCTCCCTGTTTTGAGCTAGGGAATCTGAAGCCCAGAGACGCAAAGTCTTGCTGGAAGTTGGCTCAGCTCTGCTTATGTGGCTGTGCCTCCATGTCCAAAGTCCTGTCCATCAGCCAGGAATGACTCCCTTGCTCGTTTGTTTGCCCAAGAGAGCCTTGGGCGGTGAGGATGGTTTTCTTTACCCATCAACCTGCTGAGGAAATGTTGTTCCTGTGCCCACCCCCTCCCTGCGAGGCCTTGGCCAGGCCTTCAGCCCAGACTGCCTAGCCTCTTCCTCTCCTTTTCTTTTTGAGACAGAATTTTGCTCTTGCTACCCAGACTGGAGTGCAATGGTGCGATCTCGGCTCAATGCAACCTCTGCCTCCCGGGTTCAAGCGATTCTCCTGCTTCAGCTTTCCAAGTAGCTGGGATTATAGGCATGCGCCAGCACGCCTGGCTAATTTTTGTATTTTTAGTAGAGATGGGGTTTCGTCATGTTGGTCAGGCTGATCTTGAACTCTTGACCTCAGCCTCGGCCTCCCAAAGTGCTGGGATTACAGGCATGGAGCCACCACTCCAGGCCAAGTGCTTAGCCTCTTTCAAAGTCCTGCCCATCTTCCCTTTCAGTAGCTCTGTGGGTCCTCTGGACAGTGAGCCTGTCACTCCCTCCTTTGTATCCCTTTGCTGTCAGGACTGTCTTTCCTGCTGTCTCCAACCTGCTGCCGTGTGTGTGTGTGTGTGTGTGTGTGTGTGTGTGTGTGTGGACCCATACCTACTGGCTGCTGGCCTAGGTCTTTCTGACATCCTGTTCCTTTTGTTTTAGCACTTTCAGCCTTCTAAGCCTCAGTTTGCTCTTCTGTAAAACGGATAAAAGTGATGAGTCAAAGATGTGTGTATACTGGAAAACTTGGCCAAAGGATGTTTAAAATGAAATTACTATTTTTTTCAACTGAAAAAGCAATTTGATCATTGTAAAAACAACAAAACAGAACAAAGGTTATACAATGAGAAGATGTTCCTCAGTGAGACTCCATTCTTGTGGCCAGTTTTGTTTGTGTGCTTCTGTTGTATTTAGGTGTGTACTTCTAGAAACATTTCATGCTGATACTGACAAACCTCTTTGTCCAGCACAGCTTTATTTGTAAGAGGCCATGGGCATAGCCGTGACGCCAGGTGGCACCTTGCTGTTTTCACTTAACAAGTTGTCATTGTTTCCTGCCTGCACACAGGCTTCTTACAGCTAGAGCATCCCTTGTGCTGGACCTTGGGCTGTTCTAATGAGGGTCCTTGCACATGTGTGAGCGAGTTTATCTGTTAGATGGTGTCGGAGCAGTGCAGTGACTGGAGCTAAGGGGGTGGGACTGAATGACCCTCCCAGGAGTTGACAGATGTCAGCAAGCCCATCCACAGTGTGTGACGGTGCCAGAGCCCCCACCCCACTTCCTCCTACATGCTCTCGAATCCTTTCATCTTTGCCAATATGATAGGTGCAAAAGAGGATTTTGTTGTAATGCATTTCTTTGTTATGAATTCAGTTGCTTATCTTTTCACATGCTTTTGAGTCATTCGTATTTTTCTGTAAATTCCTACTTGTGGCTTTTGCTCATTTTCCTGTGGAGTTTTTGGGCTTTATCTTCCTGATTTGTAAAAGCATTTTGTACATTGAGGGAATTTGCCCTTTTTCTGCATTAGTTTATGAATATTTTTCTCAGCTTGATATGTTTCCCCTATCGCTGGGCGGGGGTTTGCTCCCCCATGACAAAGTTGTTAGAATTTAGGTGTCTTGTGTGTTTTCGGTCTTAGGATATTGTATAGAATGCTATAAATCTTCCTTGCTTCAGGATCATAAAATGTTATGTGTCCCTCATTGCTGCCCTTGGTGTGAGGAGTCGGGGGATTCAGCTTCATTGTTTACTGGCAGCCTGGCCGAGGGTCTCTGCACTGATGCCTAGGCCCTGCCCTTCTCTCCGTCTTCCCTGCCGCTGGATGGCCTTCCCCACTCCCATGCTCTCCTGCTCCGTGGTCAGTGTGCAGAGAGGCTCTGAGCCAAGGCCCAGGGTCCCTGTCTTCCTCCCTCAGGCCAGTGAGGAAGGGCAGTGTGATGAGGAGAGAGGGGTCAGGGACAGCTTGGCCCTCCGAGGCAGTGGGATCCGGGATGTGCCAGCCTGACTTTGGGCTGCAGTGCCTGCCTGTGTGTCTACCTGTCTGGTGTGGGAGGGGAGGATCCATCATGTTCCCACTTCCACCTTCAGGGCTCCGGGGACGTCAAGTACCACCTGGGCATGTACCACGAGAGGATCAACCGTGTCACCAACCGAAACATCACTCTGTCACTGGTCGCCAACCCCTCCCACCTGGAGGCAGTGGACCCTGTGGTGCAGGGGAAGACAAAGGCAGAGCAGTTCTACCGTGGAGACGCCCAGGGCAAGAAGGCAAGCTCACCTGGGAGAGTCCCGAGGACCTGGGCCCTGCGGGGTGGGCCCAGAGAGCTAGGCCCTGGGTCTCCACAGTACAGGTGCGGGACTGGGCTATGCAGCCCCTCCTGGCTCACACCTGCCCTGCAGGTCATGTCCATCCTGGTTCATGGGGACGCCGCCTTTGCCGGCCAGGGCGTCGTATATGAGACCTTCCACCTGAGCGACCTGCCCTCCTACACAACCAACGGTACCGTGCACGTCGTCGTCAACAACCAGGTGAGCATATACGCTCCACGCTGGGTCTCACAGCGTTAGCATTCCTGGAAATCCAGGAAGTAGCTTGGGGGGAAAGTGAGATGCTTCTGGCCCTGAGCCCACTGCTGTGCTGCTTACCAGGCAGGACCCTGATCTGCCCAGCCTTGGCATCCTGGTCTGTGAAATTGGGGGACACAATAGGGAGGGATAAGCAGGGCTGGAAAGACCAAAGGAGCACCTGTGTAGCGAGTACCTCATGGAGGCTGGCTGTGTGCAGCCCTGCATTGGCAATCTTAGACACAGGGACCTTGGTGCCCTTTCTCTAAGGCAGCTGAGCTTCTGACAACTCGTCTGGAGTTTAGAAAGCCCTGTGTTCATTGCCTTATTTGCATTAAGTCACGTCTTCTTCTGTGAACATCCTATGAGGTAGGAATTTAAGTGAGCCCTTTTTATAGATGAGGAAACAGGCTGTGGGAATGTAAGCACCTTGCCCCAGGTTGCAATTAGCAGTTTTTGGGACTGGGATTTTTGAGGCCTGTGTTCCTCACCACTAGTATGTCAAAGTGACTTGCAAAAAAGAGCAGGCTCCACTCGGCTGGTGTTGCTGCCATCCCCGTGGGAGCTGTTGCCGTGTCCAATTGTGGGGCTGCTCACCATCACCCTGTCGTGTCCCACATCCCCCCGGGCACCTCAGTGGACCTTGAGCATCCCCCTGCTCAGTCCCCGAGGCTGGCACCTTCTATCTCACTCTAAGTAGAGAGGCGCAGCAGGTTTCTCCTGCCTCTGCAGATTGGATTCACCACAGACCCCCGAATGGCCCGTTCCTCACCATACCCCACCGACGTGGCCCGGGTGGTCAATGCGCCCATCTTCCACGTGAACGCCGATGACCCAGAGGCTGTGATATATGTGTGCAGTGTGGCAGCCGAATGGAGAAACACTTTCAACAAAGATGTTGTCGTGGACCTGGTGGGTCTGGGGACTGAGGCTAGGGCATGGGTGGGTGACTCATCCCTGCTGTGCTGAGCCAGCTTGGTCTTCAGCATCTTCAGCACTCAGGGCTGGGAGTGCTTCTTGGATGAGAGATTTGTGCCACCAAGAGCAATCTCTGCAAAGGCCTGAGATGGGACACTCATTCGGTGATAGGTGATAGTGGAGCTCAGAGGGCTCCCAGTGGGTGTGCCCTACCTGGATATTCCCCAATTTTGCAGCAGCTACATTGAGCACACAGCGTAGGGGAGGGCATGAGCCCCTCTGGCTGCTCCTGCAGGTCTGTTACCGCCGGCGCGGCCACAATGAGATGGACGAGCCCATGTTCACCCAGCCACTCATGTACAAGCAGATCCACAGACAGGTGCCTGTGCTGAAGAAGTACGCAGACAAGCTGATTGCCGAGGGCACGGTCACCCTGCAGGAGTTTGAGGTGGGCAGGCAGGCTGCATGGGCACCTAGGACAAACTTTGAGTGGGGGCCTGGGGAGGGGTTGTAGATGTTACCAGCCCAGTGCTGAGCCCTAAGGATTTAAAGAAGTAGCCACTGTGGTCCTTGTCCCCAAGAGGCCCCAGTTACCAAAGGGGACCAAGAACTAAGGATGCAGTTGCAGCCAGGTGGGACACAGTGGGTACTGCAATGTGGGGGAAGCCCAGCCTTGAGCAGGCGTGCAGGAAGGCTTCCTGTAGGAGGCGGCCCTGAGCTGGGGTTGTCCCCATAATTATCTATGGAGTGTTGGTCCTTCCACCTTCATGGAGCTCTGAGAGCAAGGACTACAAGTTTCCGGAGTCTTCTCCGATCCCCTTGCTGAGCACACTGCAGGCCTGCCCAGCCTCGGGGTACCCGTGCAGGATCCCCTGAACTCTGAGACTTTGGCTTCTAGCCATGAGGTCCCTACTGACCAGAGACAGAGAGTTCTAGAAGAACTTGGTAATGGGGACCAGGACTTATGAGTCCAAGTGGATTGGGCCTCTGGCTGCCCAGGGCTTTGCTGCTCTGTCCACACCTTCCCCCTGATTCCAGGAAGAAATTGCGAAATACGACCGGATCTGTGAGGAGGCTTATGGCAGGTCCAAGGATAAAAAGATCCTGCATATAAAGCACTGGTTGGACTCCCCCTGGCCCGGTGAGCGAGCAGTGTGTGGCTCAGACAGACTACCCTGGGCCTTGAGGTCTTGCACTGGGATCAGGACTGGAATGGCCCTAAGTGACAGCTGTCATTGCCTAGTCTAGAGGCTGCAGGCTCTATCCCTGAGGTCCTAAAGCTGTGTGGGGCCGATTCCTGCAAGTCAAGTTTAACATTGCTCTCTGAGCATGGATGGCCAGGTGCTCACTGAAAAGGGAGGGCACAGCCAGGTGGGAGGAGGGAGAGGAAGCCCTGGGCACTGGATACATGGGTCCGGGGTGCTCAGAGGGCCTCCCTGGGGGCAAGGTTAGAACAGCTGTGACCCTGGGGCCCAGAGGTGGGTGTTGGGCCTGTGGGGGAGTTGCAGCTGTGGCTGTCCAGCTGTCGCAGGTCCCAAGGGTGGGCTCAGGGTGAGTCCGAGTGACAGTGGAGTTTAGGAAGCCATGGGCCTCTCAGTCCTGGGGAGGCAGGCTGACCAGGGGGATCAGAGGCCACCACTGACCCAGTGTGGACGGAGCCTCTCTCCCTGTCAGGCTTCTTCAACGTAGATGGGGAGCCCAAGAGCATGACATGCCCAGCCACGGGGATCCCTGAGGATGTGCTCACCCACATCGGCAGCGTGGCCAGCTCTGTGCCCCTGGAGGACTTTAAGATCCACACCGGTGAGGTTGCTGGGCCGGATGCAGCCCAGGCTGCTGGCCCCACCCCAACATTGTGCCTCGAAGGGAGGTTGGTTGGGATGCAAGAGAGATGGTGTGTTGCATTCCTGCTCAGTCTGCAGTGGGTCCACGTAGCTCTCGGCACCTCGTCTGTGCCTGTGACAGTAGCTCTTCTCAGGGTGAGCGTGGTGAGCTGGGCAGCTCCAGATGCCACACTCCCAGCTGGGTACCAGTGACTAGTCTTAGGTTGGGTTTTCAAAATGACTTTGCTGGGGCGTCCTTGGGTCGGACAGGAGAGCAGGAAAGCAAGGGCTGCCATGTAGGGGCTGGAATGCAGCCTGGAACTTGGGCAGGATTCTGCAGCTGAAAGGACGGCAGCTTGCTGGGGCCTGGACCAATGACCGAGGGCAGCCTCCCACTCTGGGGGCCCGTTGGCTGGGGCCACTGTGACCTTTGCCTGGGAAGTCCGGAGGGTCCCCTGTGGCTGTATTGAGGTGCTACACACCCTCTGACCCACCTGGAGGAGTTCTGAGGGGGTTCCCTTACATTTTGCACCCAGACCGAGTGCCCTGGGGCAGCTGCTGACAGCGTCTGGGGCATGTGCCTGCTCTGTTTGTGTGTTAGCCTCTATGTGTGGGGCCAACAGGAGCACAGCATAGGCCTGGGGACTTGGGGTCAGATCCGAGTACCTTGACAGCTGTGTGATTTGAGTAAATGACTCCGTGCCTGATGGTGTCTGGAACGAGGCCAATGCTCGCCAAGTGGTACCTGCTCCACCTCCCCATGGGCTCAGGGTGGCCCCTTGTCTCAGCTGGAGGAGGGATGCCTGGCCCTGGGCCCTCCTGCAGCATCCCTGCCCTCCAGCCACATCAGCAGACGGCTGCCCTGCTTTGTGCGGGGTGTGTGCTGAGCACCTGCGTACCCCCGCCAGGGCTGGCTGTCCCGTGGCCCTCAGGCCAGCACTCTCCTCCCACAGGCCTCTCTCGCATTCTGCGGGGCCGGGCGGACATGACCAAGAACCGGACGGTGGACTGGGCGTTGGCAGAGTACATGGCCTTTGGCTCCCTGCTGAAGGAGGGCATCCACGTGCGGCTCAGCGGGCAGGATGTAGAGAGGGGCACGTTCAGGTGAGCGTGGTGGGGCTCGGCATCCACACAGGAGACCTGGAGCGGAAGCTGGGCCTGGCTTGGGGATCCCAAGGGGGGCCTTCGTTGGGGTGGGATCTTCACAGCATCCCTAGCCCCTGCCCTCTGACGGCATTATCAGAGGGCCACCTCGCTGACCCCCAGGGTGAGTGTGCAGAGCTCACTGCTGGGCCCAGGCTGTCCACTGAGGTCAAGCTTGTGGCCCTCTGTGGTGCTCAGGATCGTGTGTGTGTTGGGGGTGGGGATTGTGCTGGTGAGTGTGGGGGATTATGTGTGTGCGATGTGCTTTGGTGTTGGTGTGTATGTGTGTGTTATATTACAGATGATGGGAGGAGTGTATATGGTTTAGCATAGTCGTGTGTGGTGTGTTTGGTGTGTGTGTATGGGTGTGCAGGTATGTGTGTGTTTGAAGTGTATGTAATTGTGGGTATGTGATGTGTGTGGGTTTGGAGTGTGTGTGGGTGTACGTGGTGTGGTGGGTGTGGGTGTGTGGTGTGTGTGGATGGGGTACCTGTGTTAGCCATGGTGTGTATATAGGGATGTGTGTGGTTTGTGGTGTGTGGTGTGAGTATGTTGTGGGTGCCTGTGGTGTGAGATGGTACACAATATGGTGAGTGGGATTAGTTGTATGCAATTTATTATTATTGTGGTATTTGTGTACGTATTTGATGTGTATGTGGTGTGTGTGTGTGGTTGTGTGGTGTGTCTTGTGTTGTATGTGTGTGGGGTGTGTATCATGTGGTGTGTGTAGGTGTAATATAGCATGTGTATGTGGCATGTGTGTAGGGGGTATATGTGGTCTGTGGGTGTGTGGTGTGTAGTGGTGTGTGTGTGGTGTATGATGTGTGGTATGTGTGATGTATGTGTGTGTGTGGTGTGTACGTATGGTGTGTGTGCTGCAGTGTCTTAGAGGTATGTATTTGTGTATAGTGTGGGTATGTTGTGTGTGGTGTGTGTGGTGTGGTGTTTGTGGTGGGGTGTGGTATGTTTTTGTGATGTGTGTGGTGTGTGTGCATATTTGAGTGTGGTATATGTATTATGGTGTGTATGGTTTGTGGTGGTGGGGGTGTATATGGTGTATGGTATATATATGGTATCTTATGTATATATATGGTGTGTGTGTGTGTGTATGTTTGGTGTGTGTAGGGTGTGTATGTGGTGTAATAGCAGGGGGTGCCAAGTATAGTGTGTGGTATGTGTAGAATTGTGTGTAGATATGCTGTGTGCGTGTGTGATGTGTGGTGTGTAGTGTATATCATGTTGGTGTGTGTGTGGTTTGTGGTGTGTGGTATATGTGGGGGTGTGTGTGTGTATGTGGGTGTGTGTGTGTAGTCGTGAGGTTGTGTTTGTGGTGTGTAGTCTGTGTGGTGTGCTTTGTGTAGTATGTGTGGTGTGTGTGCAGTGTTTGGTGTGTGTCATGGATGTGTGTGGTGTGTGTATGTGTGTGGTGTGTTGTTATTATTATTACATGTGGTGTTTGGTATGTGTGGTATGTGTGTGGTGTGTGTATGTGTGTGTGTGTGTAGTGTGTGGTGAGTGGGGATGTGTGTGTAGTATGTGTGGCATGTGTATATGTGTGGTGTATGTGTGTACTGCTGTTAAATAGCCCCTATCACTTGTTGCAGTTGTCTTTGTAGTCCAAATGAGACTTGGCCTTGTCAGTGTCGCAGTTGTCTTTGTGAGTCCAAATGGGGACTTGACACTTGTCAGTTGTCCACACCACATTTCCTCTGGTCCGGGGCCCTAAACTGTTCTAGGTCCTGCCTCAGTCTGCTCCTGGTTAGCAGGCCAGGGTGGTGTGGCTTCCAGGACTGGACCAGCTGGCTTTCTTATTCCTGGTTGCTCGTCTCTGCTGGTCTTGCTCCAACCAGGGCCCAGGTGGTCCTCTGATGCACCCTGAGCTACATGTCAGTCCTAGCCAGGGTCTGGGGTTCAGCCAGGTGCCCCTCACTGTGCCCACCTCAGCTACTGCACAGTGGTTTCTGTCTCTTGTGAATTGGGACAGGGCTGATGAGATGATAAAGAAGCCAGCAAGACGGGGCAGGGGAAGTGGCCTCCTAGGAGGTGGCTCTAGCTGGCACCTGCGAAGTGTCTCATCAGGTCCTCTTTATGGGTGAGAAGCTGACACTCAGGAAGGTGCCACAACTCAGTTCCTTCCCATAGACCCCTCAGTGCGTGGTATGTGTGGGCTGCCGGCAGGCAGGGGGCATACTGCAAGAGGGACCACATGGCTCTGGTTTTCCACAGCCTTCTTGGATGCCATCCTGTGGGACCCTGCAGGTTTCCTGGGACAGTGACGGAGGCTTGCCTGCCTCCTGCTGCCCAGCTCCCCTGCTCCAGGTGAACAGGTGCCAACCCACCTGCCCTCTGTCCCTGCCCCGGTCTGTGTCTCTGCAGTCACCGGCACCACGTTCTCCATGACCAGGAGGTTGACCGCAGGACGTGTGTGCCTATGAATCATCTCTGGCCTGACCAGGCCCCATACACCGTGTGCAACAGCTCCCTCTCGGAGTACGGAGTCCTGGGTGGGTCCACACTCTCCTGCAAGCCAGGCAGGCCCCAGACACCTGGGGACCAGAGATGGGCTGGGAAGGGACTGGGGCCAGGGCCTGGGAGGGGCGAGAGATGCTCAGAGGCCCCGAGGGGATGGCCCTGGGGAATGGTGATTGGGCTGCCCCCACCTAAGGCCATGTGGGAGATGAAATCGGTCCCATCTGGGCCGCTTGGGGATCCAGTTAGGGGGCCCTGCTTGCTTTGAGGGGGCTCTGTGGGTATCAGGGCCCCACTGGGCACAGACAGCCCAACAGAGTCTGCTGCGGGTTTCAGCTGCTGAGCAGTCCAGTCTTGGCCCAGCCCTCCCGCATTCCTCTGAGCCCCATCTCACCTCCTCTGCCCTGTACCCTAGGAACCCTGCACTGAGATCCCTTCTCTGGGCTCTGGGCTTCCCTGCCTGTGTCCCCTGTACATGCTGTCCCTCAGCTGCATCATTAGCTGGCTCACCTCCTCCTCACTGCCTGCCCCTAGAGGCCAGGCAGCTCCCCGCCCCCAGGGAGATGCCTCTGGGGTTGTTTCTGCCCCTTCTTAGCAGCTCTGCATGTTTTTAAGGAGTTCTTCTTGACAGATGGTCCCTGCTGCCTCCCCAGGATACCTAAATATGGCTGAACCTGACCACACATGATAGCAGGGCTGAGGGTAGCATCTCTGGGCATGTTGTCAGCCCCCAGGGTGGTACATTCTACCCTTTGAATCGCAGGGAATCCCTGGGTTCGTCCTGGCTTGTGAGAAGGATGGGTGGGGGCATGGAGGATATACTGAGAAAGGGCTGAGTTTGACTGGAGCCACTGCCACTTGGTGACAGCGTGCAGCAAGCTCTATCTTGTCTTCTGTTTAGGCTTTGAGCTGGGCTATGCCATGGCCAGCCCCAATGCCCTGGTCCTCTGGGAGGCCCAGTTTGGGGACTTCCACAACACGGCCCAGTGCATCATCGACCAGTTCATCAGCACCGGCCAGGCCAAGTGGGTGCGGCATAACGGCATTGTGCTGCTGCTGCCCCATGGCATGGAAGGCATGGTGAGGGCTGCAGTGGTGGCTGGTGGCTTGGTGGGCTCTGGTGGGCCTCGGAGGGACGGGATGGACCCTGGGCCCCTTGTTGAGTTGGATGGTATGTGCTTTCCAGGCCCCTGGAGCACATGGGTCTGCACAGGGTGGGGTCTGCACATGTGCGTGCTGCAGCTGCTGAGATGATGATGCTACCCCTGGCAGAAGGCGCTACCGCGTATGAGTGCGTGCTATGCGCCAGGCGCTGTTCAATGCTTCTGAATGTTAACTCTTCCAATCCATACAGCAACCTAATGAAGTAGGCCCTGTTCCTGCGTTTCAGATGAGGAAACTGAGGCACAGAGCAGGGGAGTAGGTTGCCCAAGGTCTCACAGCTAGTAGCTGGGGTTTGAAGCTATCCTGTGCAGCACTGCCTGTTCTCTGGTCCCCTCCTGTGTGACCTGCCTCTGCATCTACACATGGGACAGAGGGAAGACATGCAAGCTGGCTGCATCCTCTGGAGGCTCCTGGGCTAGCAGGAGGGGAGGAAGGAGTAGAGTGTCATGTGATACCATCTGGTGGGCAGGCGGCCTGACCAGGCAGAAGGAGACAGGCAGGGGGCTGATCGCCACCATTATGCCCGAGCGATGTGTTTAGTTCTGAGACTTTATAGGCTGCGTACTCGGCATCCTCACAACACTGGGGCTCAGTGAGGAGGGAGGTGAGGCTCCCTGCTTGGGGCTGCCCACTGTGAAGGCAGCTTCTTGGGAGGCAGGATCTGGGCCAGGCTGAGTGTAGGGGGCTGGGTCCTTGGCCATCCCCACCAAGAGGGGGCGAGTGACGGCTGTGGGGCGGGTCACCCCTGTCCTGCAGGAGCCGGCTTGGAGATGCCCCTGGGCTTGTCTTGCTGCTTTCATGGAGCAGAGCGGTCCATGTGGGTGAGGGTGGGCGAGGCCCAGGCTGAGTTGGGTCGGCCCCTACCTGGCTGTGTGGTCATGGGTGGTTTCTTACCCTCTCCCTGCCTCTTCATCTGTGCAGTGAGGAAGAGTCTGCATCATGGGGCTTTTGGGGATTAGCAAGTAAGTTGTGTGGGGTACCTAGAACTTTGCCTCCTGTAGCAGGTGCTCAGTCAGTGGCAGCCACTGTTCTAGGACATTCCAGAGAAAGCACGTCTCAGTGCGGGCTTTTTGTTTTTTCTTCTGTCCCTGCAAGTTCACACACTGTGCTAGCTCTGGGCAGACCCCACTGTGAGGATGCCCATTCTGCTCTTGTTCCACATTCTTGGTTCATTTCTGTGGTTCAGGCTCCAGGGCGAGGGCGCCTCCACTGAGATGCTCTCCAGACTCTCCCCTGAGCCTAGGGTCCCTACAGGGCCAGATGTCTGTCCCATGGTGGGGGGCCAGCCTGGGCCATCTGGCATTTGCTTTCAGGGCCCAGAGCACTCGTCTGCGAGGCCCGAGAGGTTCCTGCAGATGAGCAATGATGACTCGGATGCCTACCCCGTGAGTGTTGCTGCTGTCCCCAGGACATGGGTGCGCCCTATTGTGCCCACAGGGCTAGGAGTCCAGGGTGTGGGTGCAGCAGACAGCCACCCTGGCCATACGCATCTCGTCCCCACAGGCATTCACCAAGGACTTCGAGGTGAGTCAGCTCTATGACTGCAACTGGATCGTGGTCAACTGCTCCACACCGGCCAACTACTTCCACGTGCTGCGCCGGCAGATCCTGCTGCCTTTCCGCAAGCCGGTGAGTCACCGTCCCAGGGCAGGGGTTACATGCAGGGGCCCTGGCCAGACAGGGCCAGCTGGCAGCTGGGCGTGTGTTTCCCTTCCAGCTGATTATCTTCACACCTAAATCTCTGCTGAGGCACCCAGAGGCCAAGTCCAGCTTTGACCAAATGGTATCCGGTACGTGCCTGGCCTGGGTGTGGGGCAGCCCACACTGCGGCAGTGGCCCATCGCGTGGCTTCTGCTCCTGGGGCTCCTCCATCCTCCCCACTGTCTGTGGCTCTGCTGACCTGTAGCAGCTCCTGGCGTGGTCCCACTAGCAATAGGGTTGGGAGGCTGGCACAGTGGCTGACCTGGGCCAGCTCAGGTCATGTGGGCTGAGTTCATGGCAGAGTCCACTGGGGCCCCGTTAGGCCCTAGCAGGGCTGGTTGAGGCCTGCCAGAGGCCTGCTGAGTTCGCAAGATATTGAGTATCATTCATTCCTTTGTCCATTTTTAAAATTCACAAGCCAAACAGACATTACAGGCCCTGGGGTCCTGGTGTCCCCTCCAGGAGTCTTTGACCTTATTTACCTGGGAGTCAGATCAGATAAAACACCTATAGTTGCAGTTGAGAGGTGACTGTGATCCAGGGAAGGACAGGTGTGAGGCTGGTGGAGCAGAGCTGTCTTGGAAAATGGTCCTGGGCAGTAGGCGGAGGGCCGGGAAGGGCCTCAGCGTGGACAGGGGTTGGATTTTCTCCCACGTCTGTTTGGATGTCCCCTCTGTGCGGGTGGGTGGCTGAAGCGGGCAGTTAGAGCTCTGATGTCGGGACTAGACTACCTGGGCTGCTTGCCCTGTGCTGGCTTCTCTCTTGAGGGCCTGGGATCCATTTGGCCTTTCTGCCCTAGAGTCCTCACCTGAGATGCAGGGATGCAGGGACACTACAGTAGCCTCCTGAGAGGTTTTGCAGTGGGCATGACCTGGGGTCAAGATCATGGGCTCAGGAAGGAGGAATGGATGGGGCTTGGAGGTGAGGGCTCAGCTGCCAGGCTGAAAGAGGAGGAGCATGGAGCAGCCTCCTGGGACATCTGCTTAGTGATGGGGGACTGCAGTGCTCTGCAGGAGGTGGGCACAGCTGGGCAGAAGCAAGGTTGGGGCAAAGGATGATGCCATCGTGTCGCCTTCTCTATCTCCTTCAGGGCCCTTCTCATTGTACCCCCACCTCCAGTCACCTTAAACGTGATGCTCCCAGGGCTCAACCTTTGGGTGTCTCCACCCCTCTCCCTGTGACAGCTCAGGGTGTCAGTTGTCCCCTGCTCCATCTTTTAGTTCAAGAGGTGTCCACTGCAGCCACAGGTCCAAACCTGCAGTTAGTCTCAGTGGCTAAGGAGAGCCTGGGGACGCAGGCCTGGTCCTGAGCTGCCCCAGCCCCTCTGGATACCGACATGTCTGCCGTGTCCTATTGGTCGCTCAGGGACCAGCTTCCAGCGGGTGATTCCTGAAGATGGGGCTGCAGCACAGGCCCCTGAGCAGGTGCAGCGGCTCATCTTCTGCACGGGAAAGGTGTACTATGACCTGGTGAAGGAGCGGAGCAGCCAGGGCCTGGAGGAGAAGGTGGCCATCACGCGCCTGGAGCAGGTGCACCTGAGCCCCTTGCAGTCAACTGATGGGCAAGCTCATGTTGCTGGCCCCGGCTCTGGCCAGTATGCCAGCCAGGCCAGGTGAAGGCTGGTGAGGCCCTGTGCCTCCTGTCGGGGGGTGCTGGGGACACACCGCCCCTCCTCTGGCTATGCTCCTTTGTTCTTCCCTCCCCAGATCTCTCCATTCCCCTTTGACCTGATCAAGCAGGAGGCAGAGAAGTACCCAGGTGCGGAGCTGGCCTGGTGTCAGGAAGAGCACAAGAACATGGGCTACTATGACTACATCAGCCCACGCTTCATGACCATCCTGAGGCGCACGCGGCCCATATGGTACATGATGGGGCTGCTGATTGCCCCTCACCTCGGCCCTGAGGCTCCATCCTGGCTCTGCCTATCCCATGGGCCATGCTACCTGGAACTGGCCTTGCCTTTCTCTGGGCTGCATTTGGAAACCAAGGAGTTGGCCCCATAGTCTGTGTCAGCTCTGTGCACCCTGTCTGTGGTGGGACAGCTTACCCATGAGGGATGGGGCATCATCTGGACTGGCTTTGTGTTTGTTCTGCAGCCAGAACTGAACTAGAGAACCTGCTGCATGTCTCAAAATTCCTGCCTTTGATCTCAGGCCAGTTATGTAGCCCCTTGGAGCCTTAGTCCCTCTATCTCTACAAAGGGCAGTGATAAGATTAGATCTGATGTATGTATTAGCCCTGGCACATGGTGGGTGCTCAATACTGGCATCATGTGTCCCTGGGAAGATGGGAGAGGGTCCTGAGAAACTCCAAGAAGCCAAGTGTGTTTGTCCCCAAAGCCTTTGAGTTGTTGCCTCGTTTGTTGTCCTCATGGGCAAGTGCAGTGACATGGAGGGACAGTTTCTCCCCACTCTTCTGTGGCTGGGTGACTGAGTTTGACCCAGGCTTTGCAGCTCATTGGAAGTGGTGCCAGGGCCCAAAGGCAGGGCCTGTAGCTTCAAGGTCAGCCGTTCTCAGATGTGTGCCCCCTGCAGTCCTGGGGTGAAGATGGGGGTGGGGAGGTGGCTAGGCCCGGTCTTCACCTTAGCTTGTCTCTCCTCCAGGTATGTCGGCCGGGACCCAGCGGCTGCACCAGCCACAGGAAACAGGAACACTCACCTGGTGTCACTGAAGAAGTTTCTGGATACTGCCTTCAATCTCCAGGCCTTTGAGGGCAAGACATTTTAGAGCTGGGCAAGACCTGTGTAGGTCTCGCTGTGGGTCGGCTGGGGACCAAGGAGGTGATGGAAAGGGGAGGGGTGGAACTCCCGCCCAGGAGAGGGGCTACGGGGCCCCAGGATAAAACAGACTCACACAATGACAGGACCAAAGAGGCAGCACTGCTGGCCTTGGTGTCATGCCAGAATCTACCAGGACTGAGGGAGCCAGAGGAGTCCTATAGGCAGGCTGCTGTGCTGGCGCATCCCCCAGCTGCTCCCATCTTGCTGGAATTTCTTGTGCGGCTTCTCCACCTGTGTCTCAAGACGGATACCCTGAGACCTGTGTCTGTGGCTGCTCCCATCCTGGCAGCCCTGGCTGCTGCTCGCCACACCCTCGCTCATCTGTAGATTCAAAGCGATGTTCTCTTCTGTGCTCTTAGAAGTAGGGAGTTGAGCAGTGACTGCCAGGGGCAGTGAACCTGCGGGGTGATGTGTTTGCGCTCTGTTTTATGGGGCATTCTCGCGAGATGTGTCAGCTTCTGTGTGAAATGCAGCCACAGCTCATGTGTACCAAAGTAGAAAACCAAATCACAGAGAAATAAAAACATGCTTCAGAGAGATTTGCTGTTTTCACTTCATGTTGTAAGACTGGGGGAGGGATAGGCGGTTGAGAGAAGGTAGGGAATGGGGAGAAAGTTAAAAAAAAAAATGGAGAGAAGAAAATATCCGTCTCCATGGATATTTTTTTGAGACGGAGTTTCGCTCTTGTCGCCCAGTCTGGAGTGGAGTGGCGCGATCTCAGCTCACTGCAACCTCCACCTCCCAGGTTCAAGTGATTCTCCTGCCTCAGCCTCCCGAGTAGCTGGGATTACAGGCGTGCGCCACTATGCCCAGCTAATTTTTTTGTATTATTAATAGAGGCGGGGTTTCAGCATGTTGGCCAGGCTGGTCTCGAACTTCTGTCCTCAAGTGATCCACCTGCCTCAGCCTCCAAAGTGCTGGGATGACAGGTGTGAGCCACTGCGCCAGATTTTCATTTGAGCACCAGGTAGTGTCTGTTGGCTTCTCCACTCTGGCGTTTTGTTGGTTTTGCTTCCCTGTGGAGATACTGGAGAAGCTGCCGCAGGGGAGGGATGTTTTGCTTGGAACAGATTGTTTGTTCATTTATCCCCTTCTCAGAGCACTTCCTCTGTGCTGGACACTGGGTTCCGGGTGGAAGGCATCCGTCTGCGTGCTGGCTCTTCACATCGGGAGTCCACTGGAGAGACATGTCAGCTGTTTAATTCATTGAGTTACGAGTTACGTTGGAGGTCAATGCAGACGGCTGTGGGTGTCAGGGAAGGATCCCTGGAAGAGCTGGTGTTTGAAGGAAGAGGAAAAGAGATGAACCTCTCTGGAACAGACACAGAAATACCATAGGGCTGGCACAAGCAACCTAAAACAATCAGCGTGAGGTTGGGCGGTGGAGTGTTAAGTTTCATCAGCCTCAAAAATAGCTTGTTGAAAAATTAGCCGGGCATGGTGACGCGTGCCTGTAGTCCCAGCTCCTCAGGAGGCTGAGGCAGGAGAATCGCTTGAACCTGGGAGGCGGAGGTTGCTGTAAGCCAAGATCGTGCCACTGCACTCCAGCCTGGGTGACAGAGAGATTCCCGTTTCAAAAAACAAAAAAGTATATCTTGTTGAGATACACTTTGATTCCTACCACAGGGGCTTTCAAAGTGACATAAAGTGAAAAGGATTGTAGCCCCCATTTATGGTGTCTGCCGTGTCTTGGGCCTTCTGCTGGATGTTTTGCGTGTATAATTAAATGCTGTCTAATCTTCACCATGGCTTTGCATGTTGGGAATATGTCCATTTTATAGATGAGGAAATTGAGGTTCATATAAAGTTATTTGCCCAAGGCCACTTGCTAAAGAAGTGGTGGTTTTGGACTTCACCTCTGTCCATAAGACCACATTGCTTCTCTTGAGAAATGAACTCTTCCCATACCATGCATTCCTGGCCCCATGGAGAACCACTAGTCTGGGCTTTCCCTGCGATTGGCTGAGGCAGCAACTGGTGAGGCACCTGGGCTGTGCAGGAGCCCTTGGGGATCAGATGATGGATGTGGCCTGCCCGAGGTGCATACAGTGCCTTCCTCAGTGTGGGTACAGGAAGGCTGTAGATGGGCTGGGACGCATCTCCTGCAGGAATAGGTACAGTCAGCCAGGCATGGTGGCTCCTAGCTATAGTCCCAGTTGCTCAGGGGACTAATGCAGGAGGATCACTTGAGCCCAGAAGTTTAAGACCCTGTCTCTTTAGGAAAAAAAAAAAAAAGGAAAAAGGTGCAACCACCAGATTACCAAATTGGGGAAAACCAACCACATAAAAAAGGACTCCAAACCCTATAAACGTAAGAACTAACTCTGGGAGGCTGGGCGCGGTGGCTCACACCTGTTATCCTAGCACTTTGGGAGGCTGAGGTGGGTGGATCATGAGGTCAGGAGATCAAGACCATCCTGGTTAACATGGTGACACCCTGTCTCTACTAAAAATACAAAAAAAAATTAGCCAGGCGTGGTGGTGGGCGCCTGCAGTCCCAGCTACTTGGGAGGCTGAGGCAGGAGAATGGCGTGAACCCAGGAGGCAGAGCTTGCAGTGAGCCGAGATAGCACCACTGCACTCCAGCCTGGGTGACAGAGCGAGACTCCATCTCAAAAAAAAACCTAACCCTAGGAAATAAAACAAGCTCACGGAACAAGCAGAAGGCTTTAAATGAACTGCAGTAACTTCAGAGGGCTAGGAGAATATTGCTGCTCTGAAACAACAACAGACTATTAAAACAGACTATTTTTAAAATAATTGGACATCAAGAAAGTATGAAATTTTGCCAAAATTAAAACCTCAAGAGATAGGCTGAATAGCAGAACAGACACAGCTGAAATACAAAATAAGTTTGAAGACAAACCCAAAGAATTCTCCGAAGAAAGTAGAACAAAGAACAAAGATATGTATTTTTAAATTCTTTAAAGAAACATGGAGAACATAGGAGTTCCACAGTGCTGATGCTGCATCTAACAGGAATCCCAGGAGGAGAAGACACGGGGGATCTTTGTGATGGAGCATCTGTCTCTTGACTGTATCAATGTTACTGTGTCCTGGTTGTGATTATCCTAGAGTGTTGTAAGATGTTATTATTGGAAAAAAATGGGTAAAGGCTAGGCTCTCTGTGATGTAGTTCTTACGACAGCATGCAAATTTACAGTGATATCAGATACAAAAGTTTAATTAAAAAATGAGTTTTCTGCTCCCTGTTGAGTTGTAAGCATTCCTTATACACTCTGGAAACAAGTCCTTTACCACATGTATTTTGCAAATATTGTCAGTCTATGGCTTGCATTTTAAATTTCTCTAAGAGTGAAAGATTTTTATTTTCATGAAGTTCAATTTATCATTTTTAATTGTTTGTGTTTGTCTCTTTGGGTTGCTATAACATAATGCCATAAACTGGGCGGCTTGTAATATTTCTCACAGTTCTGCAGGCTATGAAATCTAAGATCAAGGTACTGGCAGATCTGGTGTCTGGTAAGGGCCTGGCCTCCTCAGAGATAGTGCCTTCTTGCTATGCCCTCCATGGTAGAAGGGGCAAAAAAGCCTACTCCTGGACCTCTCTTTTAAAAATTTTTTAAATTAATTTAATTGTTTGAAATATCAATAGGTTTTTGGGGAACAGGTGGTGTGTGGTTACATGAATTTTAGTGGTTGATTTCTGAGATTTTCGTGCACCCATCACCTGATGGTACCTGAGCAGTGTACACTGTACCCAATGTGTAGTCATTTATCCCTCACCCCCTTCCTACCATTTCCCTTGAGTCCTCAGAGTTCATTGTATCATTCTTTATTTTCTTTTTTTTCTCACTCACTCTGTTGCACAGGCTGGAGTGTAGTGGTGCAATCTCAGCTCACTGCAGCCTCCACCTCCCAGGTTCCAGTGATTCTCCTGCCTCAGCCTCCTGGGTAGCTGGGATTACAGGTGCACACCACCTTACAAAATAATGTTTGTATTTTTAGTAGAGATGGGGTTTCACCATGTTGTCCTGGCTAGTCTTGAACTCCTGACCTCAAATGATCTACCCGCTTTGGCCTCCCAAAGTGCTGGGATTACAGGTGTGAGCCACCATGCCCAGTTCCATTGTATCATTCTTATGCCTTTCTGTCCTCATAGCTTAGCTTCCCCTTATGAGTGAGAACATACAATGTTTGGTTTTCCATTCCTGAGTTACTTCACTTAGAATAATGGTCTCCAATTCCATCCAGGTTGCTGCAAATGCCATTATTTCATTCCTTTTTATGGATGAGTAGTATTCCATGGTGTGTCTGTGTGTGTCTGTGTGTGTGTGTATATATATATAAAAAAAACATTTTCTTTATCCACTCATTGATTGATGGGCATTTGGGCTGGTTCCATATTATTGCAATTGCAAGTTGTGCTGCTATAAACATGCATGTGCAATTATCTTTTTCGTATAATCACTTCTTTTCCTCTGGGTGGATACCCAGGAGTGGGATTGCTGGATCAAACAGTAGCTCTACTTGTAGTTCTGTAAGGAATCGCCACACTGTTTTCCATAGTGGTTGTACTAGTTTACATTCCCACCGACAGTGTAAAAGTGTTTCCTTTTCACCACATCCATGCCAACACCTATGTTTTTTTTTTTTTTTTGAATATGGCCATTCTTGCAGGAGTGAGGTAATATTGCATTATGGTTTTGATTTGCATTTCCTGATTATTAGTGATGTTGAGCATTTTTTCATGTTTGTTGGCCATTTGTATATCTTCTTTTGAAAATTGTCTATTCATGTCCTCCTCCCACTTTTTGATGGGATTGTTTGTTTTTATTCTTGCTGATTTGTTTGAGTTCCTTGTAGATTCCGGATATTAGTCCTTTGTCAAATGTATAGATTGTGAAGATTTTCTCCCATTCTGTGGGTTGTCTGTTTGCTGATTATTTCTTTTGCTGTGCAGAAGCTTTTTAGTTTAATTAAGTCTCATGTATTTATCTTTGTTTTTGTTGCATTTGCTTGTGGGTTCTTAATCATGAAGTCTTTGCCTAAGTCAATTTCTAGAAGGGTTTTTCCAATGCTATTTTCTAGAGTTTTTATGATTTCAGTTCTTAGATTTAAGTCTTTGATCCATCGTGAGTTGATTTTTGTATGAGGTGAGAGATGAGGATCCAGTTTCATTCTTCTACATGTGACTTGCCAAATATCCCAACACCATTTGTTGATTAGGGTGTCCTTTCCCCACTTTATTTTTGTTTGCTTTGTTGAAGATCAGTTGACCGTAAGTATTTGATTTTACTTTTGGATCCTCTATTCTGTTCCTTTGGTCCATATGCCTGTTTTTGTTGTTGTTGTTGTTGTCGTTTTGTTTTTTTGAGACAAGGTCTTACTCTGTCACCCAGGCTGGAGTGCAGTGGCACCATCTAGGCTCACTGCAACCTCTGCCTCCTGAGTTCAAGCAATTCTCATGTCCCAGCCCCTCAAGTAACTGGGATTACAGGTGTGTGCCCAGCTAATTTTTGTATTTTTAGTAGAGACAGGGTTTCACCATGTTGGCCAGACTAGTCTTAAACTCCTGGCCTCAAGTGATCCACCCACCTCGGCCTCTCAAAGTGCTGGGATTATAGATGTGAGCCACCGCACATGGCCTATATGCCTGTTTTTATACAAGTACCATGCTGTTTTGGCAACTACAGTCTTATGGCATAATTTGAAGTCGGATAATGTCATGCCTCCAGATTTGTTCTTTTTGCTTAGTCTTGCTTTGGCTATGTGGGCTCTTTTTTGGTTCCATTCATGTTAATTTTGGGATTGTTTTTTCTTGTTCTGTGAAGACCTAGACCTTTCTTATAAGGACTAATCCTATTCATGAGATCTCTACCTTCATGACCTAATCACATTCCAAAGGTCCCATTTCTTCATACTATCAGCTTGGGGGTCAGTATTCCAACATATGAATTTGGTGAACACAGATATTCTAGCCATCATAGTGTCCTAACTAAAAAAAAAAATTTTAAACCTAATGTTAAGATTTTCTCTTGTATTTCCTTCCATATATTTAATAGTTTTAACTTTAGGTATATAAACATACATTTTGAGTTATTTTGTATATGGTGTGAGGCGAGGGTCCAGATTTATTATTTTCTGAATGATACTCAATTGACCTTGTACCATTTGTTTAAAAGACTATCCATTACTCATGGAATTAACTTGGCACCTTTGTGTACATAATATGTAGTCAATTACATAGCATAAAAATGAGAAAATATGTGCAAGACCTGCACACTGAAAGTATAAAATATCACTGAGACAATTAAAGAAACTCTAGTAAAGGGAGTTATACCATGTTCATAGATTAGAAGATTTAATGCTGTTAAGAATCAATCCTTCCCAAATTGATCTATAGATTTGACACAACCCCCATTTAAATTACATCAAACTGTTTTATAGAAATTGAGAAGTTGATTCTAAAATCTATATGTAAATATTTAGCTAAACCAACTTTGAAACGGAAGAACACAGAAGACTTTCATTACCTAATTTCACAATTTATTATAAAACTACCATAAAAGCCTGATGGGATTTTGATTTGTATTGTGTATATATCAATTTCAGGAGAAATGATACTTTACAATCCAGCAATATGTTCTATACCTGCATTTATCTATATCTTTTAAAATTCTACTCAACAACATTTTACAGTTTTAAGTATATAGGAATAACACATATTTAGCTAAATTTATCTGTAAACATTTTAGTTTTTAAGCCACCATCAATGGTATTTTT